AATTGATCAGTTTTTTATGGGATGCAGGTACATCCATCTGACGAGTCCGAAATAGGACGAAACACGTCCTGGATTCTACTGCTAGCCACTATCAATCTTTGCTTATAATGCTTGTAACTTAAGGCAATACACACGGTATCCACATGTATCAATAAGAGGACTGATCAGTTGCAGTCTTAAACATCAGTGGGAAGATTCAAGTAAACAATATCAAGTAAATTTGCATTCCTGTTCATTGCATTACTAAATAGTTATCTTTTTTTTAGAAGTAATATAGACCATAGTTTTTTTGTTGTTGTTGTTGTGCAAATGTGTGCTTGTAAAATATGCTTGCCAATTACTCTCTTATCAAACAACGTTTAACATTGCTTATCTGTATGACTCCTACTTTCAATTTCATCTTTAAAAATTATTAATTTGTTTATTATAGTCCCTATGATTATAAATGATTTAATACTGTCGTTTATTTTTCAAGATATCACATTTTTTTTAAAGAACGAAATATTGTCGGATGACTGAATAATAATTTTACATTATTTTGTTTATGTATAGAAAATATCATTGTAACCAAAAAACCCATTCTGTGCTAATTTACAAGTAAATAGATGTACTGTAGATATAAATCAATAAATTCTTAAAATTACACTAATTTAGGTACTATTGTTAATAGTTTTAATTGTATAAATGAAAATGATCATTAGTGGTTTTGTTAGCTATTTGTAATGGACTGTTTTAATTGCTCAGGACCCAATGTTGACACAGCCCTACTGTATATTTTTTATATATAGATTGTATGATAGTTCAATGCAGAACTATTACTGAAGTGTACCACCAACGTTTGGTATACGCGTCCCATATAGTCTGAGTAAAGAATACACGAACTGAACTACTGTTTTCAGTAAAGTTCATGAAGCAACTCTTAGGAAGTTTATAAAGTGCTAAAATCTGTTTATGGTGATAACTAACTGGGGAAAAAAGATACTTCAAGTAGATTGAATTTTCTAATGAAAATTACAAGGATAATTCGAAGTCAGATTTGGTATCAACTTTCAATGTTAGCATTCCATCTGTCCAGTCTTTTGTGCTCTTTATTAACTTATTTACTGTCCAGATTGGTGACGATCGCTATGCACACTGTTCAGTTAAATTGTTTGAAGTAGAGAAACGACAACGTAGATGGAGGTTTTGTTAAAAACACGGGAAGATTTTAATCAAAGTCAATGAAAACAGGACAAGCTTACTGCTGCCAACTAAACTTATTTAAAAGAATTAAGATTGACATGCCCTATATTCTGTAAAGTAGTTTTCATGATCCCGTTACGGGTGGACCAAACTACTTACGAAAATAATTTTCTTGTTTATTGAATAATCATCAGATCAGATTTTGATAATACTAGTCGTATGTAAGGAACCTTCGCTTCACCACTAATATTTCCTGAGCTGGACGGGAAGATTTCAAGTATTGAAAAAAAGTTGGTACCTGAAGCTCTAAAGCGAATCTCATCATTTATGACTGAAAACAATTTCCACAAAAAAAACAACACATAATAGTCTTCAATTCTCAGGATTTTCCAGTGTAATGGAAACCGACCAACTGTTGTGTATGAATAAAACAACAAAATATTGTGAAGAATGAGTTATACCCGAAATCCATACCATAAGATCATTCTAAAATAACATTGGAATATGCTCTGCTAATGTAGAGGCACTTAAAAAGTAAAAAATACTTTAGAACAATTACGAGATATATTTATCATAAAGTTATATTTTACCTCTTCTGTCTCATTGAGGCACCATAAAAAGACCGGAAATAAAAATGTTTACAAAGTAAATACACTAGTAAAAATAGAATTCACTTTTCCATCTTTGTCAATAAAGTAAATAAGCAACTAATCCTACTGTATGAATTATTTAATCACAAAAATACTTGTGAATACCCCTAGTAAACTACACTAACGTTGTTAAATCACTGGATACAGTCATAAACTTCTACAGATTATATAATATATTATAAGATTTGTTTTATAAAATAGTAGTGTCTTAATATTTTACTTCACTTTCCCATGAATCCCTCTGCTTTCTTCTCAGTATTGGATAATCAGTTATTGAGACATATTTCTTTAAAGTTTATGTGGAAACAAGATACACTACTCTATGATGTAGATGTGCAAGGGATATGTGAGATTTATTTCATTTTTAATTAAATGTATTCCCTTTCATTACTTTTGTTCTTCCAGGTGACTTGTGAAGGAAATCAAAATGACCTCCTAACTCTTAAATCTGCTCTTTCTGAATGGTGGCTCAGACACTCAGCTAGAATAACCTGTATCAGTTGGAGTCCAAATGGTCGTCGCTTGGCCACTGGAAGTATTGATAGTTCTATTGTTATTTGGTCATTAGATGAACCAAGAAAACAGGTGGTTTTGACAGGTAAGTGATTTCACGTCAAATTTATCTTTCACTAAAAGAAACTGGTCATAATTGAATTGAATGATTTGTGTAGTTTTCATCATGTATTCCATATGTTGGGAAAATCACAATTATTTTAACTTGATTGTTGATATCTTAGAATATTAAATACTTGGAAAGTTGATTATTTTACATGGTTGATACATTAATTCTGTAAAAAACGTTTCGGTAAATTATTGATGAGCTGTATAATTGCTTGTATTAATTTAGTATGTTTATGAGCAATATTTCCGGCAACAACAGTAGGTCAGTTTTACTATTGTAAAGAAATATGTTTTTTTGAGATATTAATTGATCGTGATAAGATTATATAATCAATTGGTTTTTCTTTTTGATTAAATATCTTCTAATCTTTTTAAAAATCTTAATCATTCAGTTGTCGTAAAATATACATTAGGATGTTGAACTTTTAGTTATGGTTTCATTATCTGTGTACGTGTTTGTGAATACTTGAAAATTATGCCAACGTAAAAATAAGTGCAATAGAAGAAATGTATAAGTCCATGTTTGCACTTATTGTATGTACTCAAATTTTGAGCTTGTTTCCAAAACATTTTACATCAATGTTAAAATTAACAAAATTAATAAATTTAACTTAAGAAGAAAGCTATAACCTCTTGACAATTTGTCAGTAAAAATCTCCATAACTGTAACCATAATTAAATCCGTTGACAGTTTACGGTTATTTATCAACTTACGATCCATACATTCCTTTGCTTTACTTGCTTCTGCTCTATTTAAATGTCATTGAGAATCGATGGCTAGTGATCTGAGTCTTAGGTAACGCATTAACATTTGAAATAAACTGGAAATGTTGAGGGTAACGTTCAAGAACTTAACAGAAATTGTAGTAGGAATCATTATCTTAGAATTCATCATCTGTTCTGTCTACCTCATTAAATCGACACAGAGTCTGGTTCACAGCTATAACTAGAAGACTTAACTCATTCGTTTCTATGATAATACACTTAGTACTACAACTAATAATTAATACAGTTATCCCAGGGAAAATGTACACATTAATGTATTAACGTAACGTCGAGTGATTATAGTAGTAACATTTATGTTTTCAGAATAAGCTTAAAACTGGGACTTCATCGACTGAAGTATTTCGTTATAAAACATGACAAACAGGTGTAATTAATATTTCTATGGATTGATAAAATCATCTACGTGATTATTTCTTTTTATTTTAAGCGGCTCATCCTATGAGTAATAGCACTGGATTATGTTGGCTCAGTGACGATCGTTTGTTAAGTTCAGCGCACGATGGAAGCATTCGTATATGGCGTGTGTAGAATAAAGTACAGTTCGTATTCTATCAGTCTCTTGAAATGGTGTTTCCCAAAATATTTGTTTACGATTTGATTCATGTACTTGTTTCCCGCTTTCAATATTTATGTAATATGAAGTGTTTTGGTTTTCACTTTTTTTCTTGAATACCAGTATTTTATTTCTTTCGGGTCAGTTTTTAAAAAAAATTAAAATCTTTTTTAATCTAAACAAGCTTTTCTTCGCTTTTTATAATTCAATAGACACTTAACTTATATAGATATAATTCCGTGGATGTCAATGTCATATTTGACAAAATCTGCGGTTACAGACCAGGAAAATTCATAAAACTTATTTGAGCTTAACCGGAGTGCGATTGAAGATCGACTTTAATAGCTGCAATCGCACCGATGACTAAGTAACTTATTGTCTGGATTGGGATTCACTTTAGTAGTATAAAGATTTGAATTTCTGTACACAAAGTAAGCGGTTTGAGACTGGCTTCATGTCCGTCCAGGTATCTGTATAGAACTATTAAATGAACTGATACACATGACTAGGCCGTTGCATTAACCTGTACAACTGGACAGATAATAAAACACGTATACAAATATCGATATTTCACGAATGTTAGAGGTTTTATCTGTGTATACGTCTTTACAGAATATCGCAACTAACAATTACCTTGGTGACAGATACTTATACAGTACAAAAAGTTTTCTTAATTAGTTAAACAGAACGTTTTTTAATCTTCAAATTGGTCAGTTCGTTGAATTTTAAGTTTATAACCAGTAAAATGTTTTCAACTTTTAATAGTTCGTCCAAAATTTGCGGATATCCATCATGTTGCTTATCTACTTACTTTTAGAAAAATCCAGTCTCGGCAATTTCAATGCACTTAACTATTCGAACCAGACTTCTAAAATGTAGTAATATAACTGTCTATCAATTAATCCATCAATGAACAGATAACTTATCTGAAAATCATACGCGAAGATCTACTTTTAAAAATTTTCCAAATGATTGTTGTTTCTGATAAAAATGTGCAAATCAAACTCGGCAGACCTTAATAAATCACGAACTAGTTATAAAGCTACTGCGGCACAAAATCCTGCGTAGATGTTAAAGCAGCACAATCACTTTACCAATTAAAACTTTCATAACAATTCAGTCACAAGAGAGTGAACCATGTTCAAGTTTTTGTATTTGAAAACAATTGGGAAATTATTTTAAAAAATATTAGAAATAGTATATTGGACCTATAAGTTTGAGTCTACAATCTTAAGGCATTCATCTGAAAATTCGACGAAAATAGGTTCACGCATAACATTTTCCAATGCAGAGTAAGGTTTATTTGTATCATTCAAAAATCGAAGCAGACTCCGGAGATGAGGGTTCTTCAGTAGATCTCGAATTTTATCCGAGTATTCTGCGTAAGAATGACAATTAACAGTAACACTTACTTAAGCCTTCTAAAATTTTCTTCGGAACATAGTCGACCATCTCATCCTCTCGTTCGACAGTAGCATGCACAACCCTTGGTACACAGGTTTCCGGTTTGCACTCATTTTGTTTATGTTTTTGGTAACAGGCAAGTGAGCAACTAAAGTATTAGTGAACTGACAATTCAGCATACTATGGTGCAATACACCTCGGACATTTGTACTTGGAAGTTTCAATTGAACAAATTGCGCACAAAACCATTTCGTTAAGGGCCAAGATCTTATAGATATCAACTGATAGTATTTTAGTTTGTCTGAAATAAAAACATTTTAGATACAAAATCGTTCTCGAGTAAAACGACAAAGGATGTGCTAAATTTTCTTCTGGACAACGTTTTGGGAATTTATGTTCACCATTATGAAGTTTCTGGGTAAGATGCGGGCATGGTGGCGCTTTTATTGTGTTAGGCGTTTCTCTGTATTCGTCCTTTTATAGTCTTAAGAAACTCAATTCTCTAGAACAATACAGAATAAACTGCCCTGCCATAGACTTTTAAATTCTTTAGAACACGTGAAACTTGTCGCAACCACGCATGTTTGTAGCTGCATAACGCAACGTAACTCCCATTTTACCCACAGGTCTTACTATTCCCGGACATTTTGATTTATTCACGACTTTGTAAGACTATCATGGTATCCTTTTTCCATTTTTTTCTGTCGGTAATTTTATATTTTCATTTCAAGATATTATAGGAACAAGTATGCTCACTTATGTGGGGATCTCAATAGACAGGATGTCTTACGAAAATGTATTAAGAAACTAGCTTTAAACTAGACGCAGATACAAAAAATATATATCTGACAGACCTATTTTCGTGTGAGGCAGTTTATTTACTTTTCTTATATCAAGGACGTAAAGGATCAAAGTTGTATTTTAGGCAATATCTGAAAGACGACTTAAGTCACTGAACTAAACAACCTGCAGGGCCCTAGACAGGGAGTCGCGACAGTCTAAAGAATGCCATCCTACTAGTCTTTGCAAAAAGCGGTCTTGAGTCATAGACTAACTGGTCATCCGCTTTCATCTCAAGTTCAAGAGTTGTTAATCGAAGCATTAAATAAAAACATCTGTGATGATATTTCAAGCACGTAACCATGCCGCCAGTCGGCTTCAATATGATTTTATACGAGTTGTCATCACCCAGCGTTAACACACATGGCGTTGTAGCGCTGTGTTCAGATACAATGTACTTAGGTTACGAGCGGTTACGTTTTATTGGTTATAAAATACAGTTTTCGAATACTATGTAGGCTGAATCAGCAACGATATGAATCAAGGTAAGGATATAATATACTGACGAGATTGAGTACTTTATCAGACAATCACGAAAACTTGTCAATTATATAGAATTTATTAAGAACTAAAAAAATGACAATGAAATGAAGTCAACATATTAGGACAGTGTTGTGCGTACCATAGTATTACAAAGTTTTCGCCACAAACTGACAGCAGCTAGAATACAAAACGGTCAGGGTTATGCATTAATAGTTAAGGAACTTGCTTTGCAAATTAGCTAACTTTGGAATTAAGGATCCCATGACGAATTGACATCAACTGTAGTGCAATGACGTCAAGAACACTTAGTTTACAAATCTGTTGCTAGAATTGAACGTGAGTAGTAAGAGCAGAATATTTTTCTCCGCTCTGACTGCGGTTTAAGTCATCTAGCCACAATACACAACCTTAAATATGCATTGGGTACCTGACACGATTCATACATCAGGAGCAGATATTCCATGCGATTTAGCTTAAGCGTCTTATATTTACTGATTGCCTGAATAGCAGGAAATTATAGTCTTTTATAATATAAATGATTATATACATACAGTTTAAATAGAGCACTATTTACTCGACCTGTTTTAGTTGGTACCGTGTGGATAAATGACGACGATTCCTTGTTTCGACACGTTCAAGTTAAAAATATATTAGAAACCATGTGATGTGTTCCTCCTTTCGTGATTATGTTCAGAACGAGACGAACGACCTTCAACAATTTTGAGAAGTGTACACAAATATTGAACGACGAACTTTGTATTAGGAAATTTAAAAACCATTGGATTATGAAATATGCAGTAACGTTGTAGCGGAAAATAAATGTTGAATTCTGACCATATTAGTTTCAATGAACTTGCCCAGCTTAAGGCTCACGGTCATGCATCCGCATCAGAGCACAAGTGGGAACGCCGTGCTCGACATCACCTTCAATCCCTAGCCAGCTTGGATCAGTCGATCCTCAATATATTCCCAACCTATCAAATAAGTCTTTAAACCTCCTCGCTTCTGTCTTTTGATTGCACTTGATGTTTACGAATAATAGTAGAAGGTGTTCTCACTTCCAAATATACGTGGTATCTTCTATGTTATTACTAGGTTAAAAGCTACTCGCTTGAACTTCATCTGAAATATAGAAGAGTGGGAACTATTGTTGAACTCCTTGCTTTGACGATTTAAGGAAGGGCATAGTTTGCAAGAAATTTTTATGTAATTTTTCTTCTCCATTCTATGTTTTTCTACCAAACATTCGAAGCTGATGTTTTATCATAGTAAGGGGATATGACGCAAATATGCCTATAAAATATAGCTTGAAGTAACAATTGATCTGCCGATGAAGTAAACACGTTATTTTCCATTGAACATACAAATATACCTTGGAAAATCAATACCACTGTAGCGGTAAATAAATCCCCAAAATAAATAGCTATATAAGTTTTCAACATTGGATGCTGACCACATGTTTTAATGGACTCACCTAGCTGAAGGCGCTCGGTCATGCGTCCGCACCAGATCACGTGTGGTAACGCCGTGCTCAACATCTACTGCAATCGCTAGCCAGACTAGATCAGACAATACCGATATATTGACAGTCGTCAAATACAACTGATCTCCTCGATTCTGTCTTTTGATTTCTCTTGGTGGGTACGAGTTATATTAGGTGTTATTGGTCGAAGCGTTGTCGAACACTGAATACCTGTGCCATCTTCACCACTATTTCGATATTCCTATAAAATCAGCTGCATTATCCACGAACACTATAATTTAAACCGATGTAGATTGTGTTACAGGAAAATCTGTAGAAATATGGTCTACTATAGTATTAGTACTGCCCTAATAATAGACCTAATCCTAAATTTGTAGATTTGTCATGATATAACTGCCTAATCTATAAGATCTTACGTGGAAATCACACCATCGACTACACCAACTCACTGTATCGCATCAATTACCAATACATGATGTAGAACAAGGTTAGGCTAGAGAAAGAACAATATATTTAATATGAATAGAAGATATAAGGTAACATTCAGCAGAGACCACGCCTGCATGGCCGAGCCATGCCACTCGATCAACTCCAGCCCATTCAATTCATTGTTCGCGCCTTCTTCATTGTTAGGTATTTATCCGCGTTAAATATTGAATATCTATTTTCTGAGTAGTCTCGTGTTCAGCTTTGTGGATTGTGCGGTTATTGTTCAATGCCACTACAGTACTCTCCCACCAGAATCAACGTGATGTTGGCTCGATACCAAGTTGGATGGGATCGTCGTGCGTTGAATGTTACCAAGACTAGGAAGAATCCTCCGGGTATTGATAAGCTGAAAGATAAATCAAAAAGAAAGCGGCAGCATCTGGTCGGGAAATACATGTAATAATTTTAAAATATCTGCCTTCATGCTTAACATGCTTGAAATGAAAATTTGGGTGAAGATTATTTGAGCTATAAAAAATGGGATTACATTAATAATAATAATAATAATAATAATAACAAAACGATGCGTGTTAATAGATGTTGGTTAATAACTTAAGGTATAGGCAGTAAGTATTTTGTGTTTAGAAATATTAAAGTAATGAATATTGTAGAAATGTTAATATTGGTATTAGTTTTGGTTTAAATTATGAAATCAAATAACGATTATGCCGGTAAGTTGTCCATATGAGTTGAATTCCAATTGCATCTGTATTAGTAGGCTAACTGAAGGAACAAAAGTATACCGTGGAGAAGAATTCCAACTAGTGTTCCAGTTAGTTTGATACGGTTTATTTAGTTACGGGGAGATTTTCTCAACCTCATTTTTACTTGACCGTGATAGGATTTAGTAATACTACTAATACACATGAATGGTTATCAAAACAAAATTTAAATACATGAGTGATAATTATATGGATTTTGGACAGATAGCTAGGAAAAATCGTTAAACATGAGTGTGTTCGTAAGAGACATGCTCTAGACTCAATGTTCTGATCTGCGGCAGACTATTTATTTATATTTATACTTGCCGGCTCATGGTGCATACAAGTTAGTTGCAGGTATGCAGTTTATCATAAGGCGGAATACGATTTAATTGAGATATAGTGGTTACAAGTTATTAAAATCAGTTAGGCCTAGTGTCGTATTACGAAGTGATGTGGTGCTGCAAGATGTATTTAGCTAAACAAGTTTTTACAAGATGATTAATAGTGAGTGATGCTCATGTGATTATCAGGGAGAACATAAGTTGTAACCAAGGGGAGTACACTCCCAACTCATGTCTATGATAATGGCTTGAACCTTAGTCAGTGTTGGGGTAAATTCGACATTGATGTTTTCAGTTTGCAGGAGATTTGCTCGACTGCTTATACTGATTATTTGCATGCATGATTGTGTCGCTAAATTATCAATAAGACTGACAAGGTTTTGAGATATTTACTTAATGAGCAACTGATAGAGAAACATACTGTAATCATCTGTGATGGATGAAGATACCAAGAAAACAACACCATTTAATGGTAATTATAAGCCAATTTGTTGACCGATTTCGTTAATAGTTTCATTAATTTTATCAGTCATATTACGTGATTGTCAAGTCATGACAATGCTTTATGACGATATCCTGAAACTATTATGTTTAACTAGTTATCGTGTTGAATGAGGATTAGTCAGTGGAAAAATAGATATTGTTGCTTTAGGTGATTTGAGATTATCAGAAATTTGTAACGTTAAAGAATCCGAGACGCCTAATTTAATTATAAATTTCAATTCAGAAAGATTCGTTTAGTGTTAATTCTAGTAGGCTACGGAGTTTTGATTTTAAACGTTTGTTTAGCCAACAGCCACCTAGGGATTTAGTTATTTTACTAGTGCAGTTAATAGTACCTAAATTTTGTAATCTTATTATCTAAACTATGTCCGCATTTTAGGCTGCTAATATGATAAATCAATCCAT